TTATTATTATTATTATTATTATTATTATTATTATTATTATTATTATTATTATTTATGTCTAATACACATATTTTCATTTATACCATGTAAAAATATTATCTATGTTTCTTGCATGTACAAATTTCGCAGAAGACGCTACGCACACCCCCAAACGAGGATCAAAATCCAGCCAAAGGCCCAAATCTCGTGTTGGGGCCAGAAGACAAAGATGGCGGGCGTCATCCCCCCTAGGTGGACGCCAAGACGTTTGGGGCCTTTACGGGACATGATTGAGAAAATCCCCATTTTCTCTATCCACTTCATCTTCAACCTCCAAAACTCCCATTTTATCCACTATTGACCCCATTAAAAACCCACTCAAACTCATTAACCCCTCATTCAACCACCATTTCCAACCATCCCACTCAATTTCAATATATAAAAATCCAACCTTTCATCCATTTTCCACAAAAATCCCCAAATCCCAAAATCCACTAAACCCCTCATTTTCTTCAAAACAACCACCAACAAAACATCCATGGAGCCGGGACAAATAGTTATTTTGTGAAGGAAAAGATGGAGATAGGCAAAGGCAGAAGCTCGAAGACTTGCAGACACACAAAATTTTTGCGACGAGGTACATTGATGAAAATGGTCTGTACAATCTGGGTATTCATTTTAGCATAGTTTATCTATTGAATAATTTACATTTGCATAAAAAATTTATTCGTAGAGAACCCACTTATGAAAGGCTGGCTCATGAATTTTCGAGTTCATTGAGTTATACTGTTAGAGCTAACATTGCCAGCACCGTCGGTATGGTAAAATTTAGAATGTTTAATATGGAATATGAATTTACCACTGATACACTGGCAAGACTGTTAGGATTCCCATTCAGGGAGGATACCATTTGTGAGGCGCCTTTAGACACTAAGTGGCAAATTGAGGCTTTCCAACTATGGAGAGTCCTGACAGGTCATGCCATAAGTTCCTTCAAGGGAAACTTGGCCTCCGACATACATAACCCGACCATATGTGTCTTTCGTCATTTACTGGTTGATACCATCTTTTCTAGAGAAAGCTCTAACAAGTTAAATTCCAAAGAATTCATTTTTTTGCAAGATGCCCTTTATTGCAGAAGATTGAATCATGTGGCTTTTATGTTGGCGCATATGTGCCCTGTTGTGAAAAAGAGAGGAACTGTGTCATTTGGGGGATTGATTACCTCCATTGCACGTGTCCTCCAACTTGACACCGAGATAGCCACTTTAGAACCATTCCCACTTCCCACCATAAACTTAATTTTTTTTAAAGAGATATGTGATTGTGTAAGGTGAGGGAGGAGGGAGGATACACCCTCATGGTTCGAAATATGGCTATACCGAGCGTAGCTTTACCTTGCTCCCGTCATACTGATGTACGACACCAAAGGAACTGGATATATGATTTACAGGCTGACCCTATTCTCGGTCCGTTGCCATCAAACGTCTCGAAGGACGAAGATAACAAGATCGACGATGAATATGAGCGGATGAACTAATCCCCCGTTCATGATATTCCCCCTCGGGCATCACCTGCACACATTTCACCTTTTATTAACCCTTCTGCAGGTGCACCTTCTAGATTCTATATCACGTAGTAGATGTGAAGGCAGCAGCAAGCTCGCAAAGAGGAACATGATGGCCTGTTCTATGCCATGTATGAGTAGCAACAGAACATGATGAACTTCATGCGTGAGTCACAACAGCAGACTGAGCGATCCATGCGTACTTGATGGAGTCTCAGCTCGCCGCCACATCCCTCCAGCAACGCCAACAAGCTAACTTCAACAACCATTACAGGCTGGTAGAAGCCACTCAAGGTTCCATACTAGGAAACCTTCGTGAGCTTCGACAAGCTAACAAAGCACTAGCAGCGAGGATTGAGCGGCTTGAGCTTTCACAGTGTTCACGACACTAAAGTAAAAGTCGTCATCCTCAACATCCAGAGTAGGGAGGAAATGGTACTAGTGGCCAGCAGTAGTCATATCCAGGTTCCACCTATATCTTCTTCACCTTTTATCAAAACATTGGGGACAATGTTTGGTTTAAGTGTGGGAGGAGATGTTTACTGTTTTTACTATTTTTATTTCCCTTTATGTTTTTAATTTCATTTCCTTCTAGTTTATTTCTATGTTTTTAGCTTGTTTTTAGTTTGTTTTTAATAAATACATGTGCTTGAAGAGTCGTATGTGTAGTTTGTCTATTTTCACCCATTTCTTGAGCCATACCAAAAAATTTTGAATAAGAAAACAACTTTTATTTTGAAAATTTGGGATGTTAGACAAGTTTAAAATAGTTTGTAGTAACTTGGGAAAACTGTTGAAAAATCGATATCATCTTGACAATGTAAGTTTCTTAAGTATAGGAATCGATCCGGATACTTATTATGCTGTGGCCTTAAATTCTCACCCTTGAGCTAATTCTTAAGTAGTTTATTTTAGTAGTCAACACCATCTTAGGTACCGCTAAGTGGGCAAACCGATACAAATAAGTGAATGATCCAGTGAGACAAAGAAAAAAATGCAAAGCATTTTGGAAAATGGATCCGCCTTCTAAGTTGGGTAACCCTCACCCGATTACTTAGCCCAATGGTAACGAAACTTCAAAAAAATTGCTTATGTGTCTGTGTTAAAGAAAAAAATCATTGAATTAAACACAATATTGGATCAGGATCACCAAGAGGTTTGTTCACCATGTGATTACAAGATAGAGGGCTTAATGTGATTGCGCTTGAATAGAAAAGGATAACAGAGGGATGATTGAGTTAGGCCTAGGTATAATAACATGATGAAAATTGGTTTGTATAGGAAGGAAACTTATGACCGCAACCCACGAAAAGTGTCACTACGATATCCTTGATTCGCTAGTAGTACCTATCGACACAACCTTGATCAAACTAAAAGTCTTTAGCCTGAATCAAATACTTGTGTCTTGTTTTTTTTTTCTTTTGTGCTCATGAGAGTTTGCTTGAGGACAAACAAAGGTTTAAGTGTGGGAGAATTTGATAACACTAAAACACATTGCGTATTTGGCTCGAATTACACATGTTTATTGTTGTTTAATTGTTATTTTATTGCATTATGCTTGTGTTTTGTCTTGTTTTCAGGTACATTGCCTAATAAGAGCCTTCCACAAATAAATGGATCTAAAAGAGCAGAAAACATAGTTTTTAGTGAAAATTACACACACTGCGTTCCACATGGCATTAGCCATGGGGGTAGCCATGACGTGTAGGGTTTCTCCCACGTTCTAGCCATCATTTGACCATGTCCACCATCATTTGTACACATGGAAGACACCATGTCTAGATGGCGGGCGTCATCTGTGTATTAGGTGGTCCGGTCAAGGACGGTTAGAGCATGATGCCATGACTAGAGATATTTCCTCCACACGATTTCTGAAGGAACTACATAACTTCCAAGGCATTGTTACACTATAAATAGGACCTAGATCTTTAGTTTTAGGCATTCAGTCTTAGTTCTCAGCATAGGCATATATTCAGAGTTAAAGCGATAAACCGTCACATTGAAGGGTTATCGCACCATTGTTGTAACTGAGGTTGGAGCATCATATCATAAGAACTTCAATCATGTCGTTATTTTACTTTCAAGTCAGATTTACTTTCCAGTATTGTACCAGATTCAAGTCTCCGATTTGGAGCAGGTTTTCTTTTACTCATACTTTCATTATTTACTTTCTGCCTTGCTTTAATTTGTTTAATTTCTGCACGATTTATTTATCGCTTTTTATTTTAGAGATCTGTTTCTAAGAATGAACTCAAGCGAGACACTTTTGTTCTTCTGAAAATCAATCACGCATTTATTTTCCTGCATGATTTACCTATCACTTTTATTTCCAAGATTCATTTTCTGAACTTAACCTAAGAGTGACACTTTCGTTCATTTGAAAAACCAATCACGCACGTTTTATTTCCCTAAATGATTTATTCTATAAACAAATTTATTATGTTTATCACCGTCATGTCTAGCTAAATCTGTTGTGCTGGGATGTGAGGACCGTCGTTCTGATGGTACTCCATATGTTGTATTTGTAGAAACACTTTAGGAATTGTTTTGAATTTTAATGCAACTTTTCTGAACTTAAATTGATCGGCTATTACGCAAACGGGGCGATGTTTCTGTTTATGTAATAACCGTGACTATGTCGGGTAAGATCGAAAGCCGTCCGAAACTTTAGATAAGAGTTGGTTAGTTTTTAATTAGTAAAAATAGCGAAAACTCTTTATTAATTACTTAGGAAAGTTTGATATTATTAAAAAGTGATTTTAAATTATTTTCGGACGCGTTTATAGATTTAGGATCCGGTTGGCCGAGCATATGCTGGAAACCCTTTGATATTGAAAGTTTCAAATCAAAGACACTTTTTAACTAAGTCTTAGAGGTAGTTATATAAAAAATGACTTCTTCACTTTAACGTAAGATGTGAACGGTGCAGCGTAAGCGGCTGGTATAGATTAAAGGTCAGGTCTAGTTCTGATTACGCTAACGTGATGGTTCCTTTTTAATTAACTCTTTTTCAAGGAAGAAAATATTTCCCCTTAAGTATTACTACTTATAAAATAGGAGTATTGTTTGATCAATGGGAATTACATTCCAGTATGCTTTTATTCTGAATTTAAGTTCATTCCTTAACTTTTATTTTATGTGTGCATTGCTCTCTATTTTCATTAGCTTTAGATAAACACCATAACAATAGTAATCGATAGATTGACATTGGTCTTTGTAGGATCGATAAATCTTTTATATTACTTTGACGTACTCCGTATACTTACGGATAACACACATCACTAGGTTAGGAATGGTCTTGAGTAGCATAATCAGTCAGTGTTAGACAGCTTTTGTCCCTGGGCAGAAGATTCATAACCACATCATGTTGGCTTTTGAGTTTCTTAAAGGTTATACTAGGAAGAGTGCTACACCTAGGTGCATAATGCAGTTAGACTTGTAAAAAACCTATGATATGGTGGATTGGCATGCTCTTGAGTGTATCCTCGAGGAGATTGGTGTTCGTAAACAATTTATCACTTGGATTATGTTGATTGTTTCTACTGTTTCCTATAGGTTCAACGTAGATGGTTGTTATACTGAGAACATAGAAACTAGGAGGGGTATTAGACAAGGGGATCCCTTGTATCCTTTTTTCTTTGTCATTATTATGGAGTATCTCAATAGATCTTTCATTAAAATGCAGAAGAATCCCAATTTTAATCATCATTTCCAAATGTGATAGATTGAAGATCACATGTTTGATACCGATGACTTGTTGTTGTTTGCTAGAGGAAATGTAGGCTCTATTGAGTTGATGCAGGTACCCTCAATACTTTCATTGTTCTACTAGGCTCAAATACACTACAAAAATTTGTATTTATTTTGGAGGAGCTACTGAAGGTATTAAGGAAGAGATTCTCAACCTGACTTCATGTAGGGAAGGTAAACTTCCTTTTAGATACTTTGGTGTGCCCTTTACCACCAAGAAGTTGTTTATTAGTCACTACATGCCTTTAATGGATAAAATTGTACGGAGAATCATACATTAGAGTGCATCCTTGTTGAACTATGTTGGTCGTGTTCAGCTCATCAAGAGTGTTTTGTTTGCAGTTTCAAACTACTGGTTGTAGTGTTTTTTTATTTCCCAAGGTTGTCATTCATAAAATTAAGGCTATTTGTAGGACCTTTTTATGGATAGGGGGTTTTATGATCAGTAAGAGAAGTATTATTGCATGGAAAAAAGTCTACAAGCCTAGAACTCAAGGTGGTCTCAATATTATTATGCTGGAGCAGTGGAATCGGGCATATATGCTAAAGTTACTTTGAAATTTGAGTGCCGAGACAGATAGTCTTCGGGTGAAGTGGATTCACTCATACTACCTTCGCCATGATGACTTGATGGATGTCAATGTGACAACAAACTTTTCTTGGATTATAAAGGCATCATAAATCAGAGGGAAACTGTTGGTGAGGTGCAGGGTCTTTGGGACCAAATGCATTTGAAGGGGATTTTTAGTGTTAAGAAGATGTATGCTGGATTGACTACTAAAGAACCTACATTGCATTGGAAGTTTTTACTTTAATTTAACAAAGCTATACCTAGGTCTTAAATTCTCATTTGGATGATTTGTCATGGTAAGATTGCTACTATGGTTCGACTGCACTAGTTTAATCTTATTGATAATGTTCATTGTTGCTTCTGTGCTAACGAGGAAAGCTTGAATCACCTTTTCTTTGGATGTGAAGAGATTAGAAAAATATGGGGTAAAGTTCTTAATTAGATTCACATATAGCATGACCCTTTGGAGTGGGACGAGGAATTCAAGTGACGTCTTTGCCAAGGAAAGGGTAAAGGTTGGAAATTATTACTTATCAAATTGGCTATGACTGAGACTTTATATGAGTTATGGAAGTATCATAATGTTGCGGTGGAAATAGGATATCAAACTATTAATTAGTTTGAATCACAATTCTTAATTCACAACCGCTCTTTGATTTATCCGAAGGAAAAGGTCAAAAGAGGAAAAACCTAATTTTGCATCGTAAATACAATGCGGGGAGAGACCTAGGTAAGGGGTTGGTTAAGCTTAGGGAAGGTACTAGCACCCTAAACTTCTGTAGTACTCTACAGGAACCTTTTGTTTATTGTATGCTTTTTATTTTTATTTATTATCTGCTTTAATATATATATTGAGCTAAGGGATAGAGTGACCTAAAGACCTAAGGGTTAGTCCTAAGTTTACTCGGCAAGACGTCGCATCTTGTGCCTACGTATCCTGGATGGGGATGGAATCAGAGTAATCGTAGTTCCCCTCGAAAGGGAGGTTAGAAACGTCTTGACTATGGTCAAGGTTTCAATGGGGAATAAACGTATCTTAAGGACACGCTTACGTGGAGTCTTTGAAACTCCTATTTCTATGTTGAATTTGTTAATTGAAAATTTAGGGTTGAAAAATAGGGATTCCACGGCGGGAAACCCTAAAACAGAGTACGGCGACTCTTTGACCTAAAACTAGGGTAAAGGGTAGTTTTGTCCACGACGGGACACCTAGGCTATTAAGGTTTTAAAATGGTTGAAACTAGGGTTATTGACTCGGCGGTCAAACTGTTAATCCTAATTCCTTCGGAGGGCAAAACAGTAAAAACATGCAAGCAACAAAATTATTACATGGCAGACACAAAAAATATGGAAAATAAAGCAAGCAGAAAAGGAAGGCGTCGCGACCACTCGCGTAAATCACAAATTCCCCAAAAAAGAGGAAAAAATGAAATAAACTCGCGACCATGGCCTCGCGTAAACTACATCCATGGAACAACATAAATTGAACAAATTATTAACCGGTGATGAACAGAAATCAAATACAATCTGGCATGGGAAACAGAGAACGTTAGTAGTTGGCACACAGAGAAATGTTAGATATAAATCAAAGGCCAAGAATATAATTTTGGATTTTATGTTTACTCTATTTATTTATTATTTATTTTTATTTTTTTTAAAAGCTCATGTTAGTTTTTTTTTATTACGAAAGAGTTAATTTCAATTATAAACTAATTTAATTATATATAAAAAATTGAATACTAAGTACAACTAATTTAATTAAAAAAGGTTAATTTAACTTAAAAAATTGGTATTAAAATATTAAAACTAATTTAATTATAAAAAATTGAATGATAATTACACAAAGGTTAATTTGACGGCAAGATATTAGTCAACTTACTTTACTTCCTTTTTAGCATGTTTATTATTTTTTAAGGCCTGGACTAATCATGTGAAACCTACATTTAAACCAAAACGTGTTATCTATTTTATTAAAAAAAATTTGTATCAGTTAAGAAAAATTTTAAGAAAGGGACGACCCCTTTTATTTGTGAATAGGCACAAATTCGTTTTTCTGTTTCCCTGCCAACTATCTACTAAGTACGTTAATTAATTATAAGTTCACATAATCCTGTAACAAATTATAATAAAACCATAAAACAGCACTAAATAAGAGCTTCCCATTTGACCCGTTAGGGTTCCTTCATCCCTGGCCCCTTTTCTCTCAACAGCCCGCGCCGCCGATAGCCCTTAACATGTTCTTTTCGCTTCTTCATCACTTGGCATGTCCGAAACTCCCTCACGATTCTCAGACCTGTACCAAAACGAGTGAAATATAAAAACAATGGATTTCTTTACCTTTTCCGATCGGTGATGCCTTTGACGGTTGGCCGATGATGTAAACACTGAGGCTAGGAAGATTGCCCGCCGTCTCGAAGCGGCGACGGTGATCTTTGAGTTGCTTTTATGATTCGCGATTTCGGAAGGTGATGGCGATCTTCGTCTTCGTGGCGATGATGGCTTCGCGGAAGTCTGAGCCTCGGTATGGCTTTGCCTCTGGTGAGCTCGTTTTGACTACTCTTCTTCTGTGTGGTTGTTTTTACGGTCCTACTGTTGATATTTATTAGGACTTTTGAAGGCGATGATGATGGATCGGAAGGATCCACTGAGCCGCCGCTTCCCTTTTTTCTTCCCTCCTCTTTCAAAACTTTATTATGATATTTATACGTTCCTGATCTTTGTTCATGGGCCTGGATCTGTCTTTATTTAGGTTACGAAAATGTTGCCTATTTTCCTGAACTATGAGCGCTGGATTTGCGTTTGACCGTGTTGGCTGTAACTTTCCTTCAAGATATTCATTTTGATTGCTTATGTTCATTGGGCTTTTGGATTCGTTATAACTTCTGGAAGTTTTTTAGGCTGATACGTTGGGAGGCTTTGATGGTTGAGTTACGGGAATCTCGGTTTGACTTTACTCTTTTCCGAACTGTTTTTTCCTTTTAGACCCGGTTTGGACCTGTGTGGATTTCGGTTTTGCTGAACTGCTTTGCGGGACAGGTTTTGAACTAGTTTTTCTGAACTGGATTTGAATTTCTGAACTTGTTTTGGATAAACTGGTTTGTCTGGTTTATCTGAACTGGTTGGAATTGTTCTTTGGAACTGAAATTTGAACTGCTTTCGGAAATGGCTGGCGTTACGGTCCAATTTCGGGCAAACCGCCTTTCCGAAACAAAACACTTCTCGAGCCAATTCTTCAAACTATTTTCCTCTTCATCTTTCGGTAATATCGGTAAGAACAGACCGCTGCCGGATAGGCCATTGGCCGAGGAAGGACACCCGGTGATGACACCGTTCTGAGGGTGTCGAACTAAACAATTAACCAATTCAAGTTTGTCTGTCTTGTTTTGCAGGTTGTGTTTTTTCTGTAATTTAGAGAAACTTATAGCCAACATAAGAGTGAAACCCGGCAAAGTATCCACATGAGACTTCAGCAGCTCTGATGAAGGGAATCGATGGAACTGCAATACCCACTATCCATGTCACATCTGAAGATGGATTCAGTTATGCAAGCCTTGGAGCTGCGGGTTACGAATATGAAGAGGGACCTCTGAATGAAGATGCAGAAAGGGTTGTAGCACGTTTCTACCCCTCTGAGTTTTTTCATTGCTCGTTTCTTTGTTCGAAATGATGGCTGTGCATCTCCCCAGCCTACCCTCGAATGTTGCTGAAGTGAGGATGAGAGCAAAACGAAGAAATGAAAGAGGTATAATATTCTGCTGTTAGTTTCTTATGTTCTTGTTTATCTTTATTGTTATCACTGTGAATGACTCGATTGCTGGTTGTCTTCTATGCAGGTTTGTTCATTTAACAATGTTACCGGCATGTGACAAAGCAGTAGAGAAATCATCGACCGTACCAACCAGAGGGTCAACGAACGCAACGGCGATAAGGGCACCTGGTAGCAGCAACAGTCCCGCTTTGGTCCAACATTCTCAACTTCCTCGGTGGCTTTGTCACCTTGAACTTTAGAACACATGGCCCCTTGAAGCTATCTGGAGATTATGTTAACAAACCCTGTTTCGTCAATAAATTGATTACGAGAAGTATCAAAGTCCGCCATAATTCTTGTTACAGCCTCATCGTGGTCCAGGTTAATTCCTTCAAACTGACTTCAGTGTTGTCATTTCACCATGAATAAGATGCCCATCTTTATTTTCATCAACTTTCTGAATATATTCTAATTGCTTTAGTGCTGTCTGTTCTTGACTTTGGCAGGCGGACCCTTGTCGAGAGCAGTAGCTCGGATGTTTTCTACTGAGAAGACGCGGTAGTAGCAACTGCTAACACGCTAGCTGACTCCACGGAACCTTGAGACATTGAGGTGCTGGTACTGACTTGAGAAGCAACACTACTTCCCGGCT